TATTTTAGTTTAACATTAAATTCAGTCACTTAATAAATTGTTACATGTATTTTGTCCACTTATAAAATCATCATTGGCCACTTGTTAATGTGATAAACATGTAAACATTTAATTATCATTCACAATCAAAACAAACTTATCATCAACATTCATATTGGCATTTACAAAGTTGACTATATAAAATGGACTAACATGTCACAAAAGATCAGTACATAATTGTCAATTAAGTTTTATCTTAAAGTCAATTTATAACTTAAATAACCCTTCTATTTCCTGTTACATGTACTTTATCAATCAATGTTAACCACCTATTAATGTATAAATATATAAACATGTAATTACCATTCACAATTCACAATTAAAACAAACTTTGTAATTAGCATTAATATTAGCATTTACAAAGTTAACTATATAAAATGAACTAACTTGTCACAAAATATTAGCACATAATCGTTAATCAAGTTCTATTCTAAAGTCAATTCATGACTCAACTAACCCTTCTATTTCCTCTTCTCATGTAGTTGTTAATTAGTTCTTCCAAGCTTTTGAAAGTTCTTAATTGCCTTCCTCAAGGGATTTGTACCTGCCCTTGTTTTTCCCGTAAAATTCTTAAACAAACTTCCCTTGCCTAAAAAAATTTGGCTGCCTTTGTCCCTTTGTAGCTTTGACCATCTTCCTTTCACTAAAAAAGGTTTAATCAGATTAGATAATTAGTCAACCTTGTGACAAATAATATTTCTAACATTTTAGCATGTACTTATTACTATATATGCTTCATGATAGTTGTCATTCATGCTGGATTACTTGTTAACGGAAGAGGGGATGAAAATTAGGTACGGAAAGAAAGATTTTACAAATAAATGATCTAGAAGGGTCTCAATCTTCAAGACATCAGATGATGTTCATCAAATGATATATATGAATTGATCACATGAATGTTTTGAAGGAGCGAATTTGTTAAATAAACATGCCAGATAGACGAGTAGTAAAAGGGGGCAAAATAAGAAAAATAAAGTACATATATCGTAAGGCTTGACACACCTTTTAGAAATAATGGAGTATATTATATACATGATACCATGATATGGTTTTGTTATTCATCTTTAGAGTAATAATTATGAAAGTTGGCCATGAACAGTCAACATCTCTAGTCAAAACGACATGAGACAACAAAATAAAAAATAATAAAAAGGAAAAAGAAAAAAAGTAAATAAAATAACCTGTTCAGTGCTTGAAAAGTTGTTTCATGTGTTTGGCTTAGGCCACGCTAGATCATCCAATGCTGGCCTTTTAAGGACCCCGAGTTTTAAAAAAATGAGATGAGTTGTAAAGATTAATTAGATTAAAAATTTCTCCAACCAATGCAGCTCAACTAATAAAAACCTATGCTGACTTTGCTATATTTGCATTTTGAATTCGACCTATATAATTCGTCGGAGTTAAACACGCCGAATGGCTCCATTCCGCACTGTAATATACACTTGATCTTTTTTTTTTTCCTGGTATCATATGTCAAATAGCTACACGCCTTATTAATTTCAAATCTTCAAAAAAATTGTCTCTGAGTAAATTGTAAACTCTTGTTATCATCCAAGCTCACAAGTGTCGGGTGCCTGGGGCAACATGGGCGAACCGTTCTTCTTCTTTTTTGCCTGAGATAAATTGCATGATTTGATCATACTGAAAGCTCAATCTCAGACTTCTCAACTGCTCCGGCCAGATCAAATTGAAGAAGTGAAGATGCGGTAATTATTTGGCGTGGATTCCATCCCTGCGCGAGGAAAGGTTTTAATTTAAAATCCAATGCGTGCCTTGCTAACTTAAGCGGAGAGAGGTCAGATTAGGATAAGTGACTGAAATCTTATTTAAAGAGGAAGGGCAGCCATTTGTGAGAAGAGAGCAGAGAAAGCAATTCGGCTCATTAGCAGATCAATTTTGGCAAAATTGTAGCACGTTTTGTTGACTGTTGGATTCGGTTGAAACTCGAAATATATAATCTTGTCAAATGGTTTGTAACGCCTGGCTTTATTGCTAATTCATCATCTGGTGTGAGAGATGTTTAGTTTGTATTGAACTTCATTTTTTAAATGTTTTTAGCCTTTTCACTTTAGTTCTTTGATTGGCTGTTGGCACTTGTTTGTACACTTAGTTGATACTCGTTTATACTTCTATGTTGATCATAGTTACATAGTAGAGTTGGTTTCATTAGTCTAAACAACCTATGACTTTTACTCCTACATTGAGAGTTTTTTCACCTTAATAATTTTGAGATCCCATTACAATTACATTATTTAATTCTATCATATATTTGTTAAATTATTTCTCAAAGATTCTTTCAAATGATAGAGAATTTATTCCTGCTGCAAGTGAGTCGTCTAATTGCGCTGTCCTCATAAGTAAAATGTAGGCAGCCTTCATAATTCAAATCGTGTCATCAATGCAGCAAATTGCCAAACTATTTTTATCAGAAAACATGTATGTAATTATAAAAGAGGAAATAAATTATAAAAATAGGAAAATAAAATATATGCATGATATTTATTTATTTTTTCAAATCTCACCGAGAAAATAAAAATAAAAAAATAAAATTTACACCTGCATGGAGACAGATATATTTGGTAACAACGATCTTCTTTTATGCTTTCCTAATTGGTCTTTTATGAGCCAAGTGGGCCTCTTCTCACATGCTCCCTCACCTGTCTATACTTTTCCTCTTCCACAACTGGTAAGCCAAGAAAAAACGCATGCATAATATTCAGCTAGCATTGTTGAATTTTAGTCTTCTCCGATTGTTATTATATTGTATTGAAAGATCCAATGTTAAGCTCCTGATGTTAAGTCAATTAATAAAAATGAAGTGGAATAGAATGCATGTGATACTAAGATTGAACTCATATAAGAAAATCAAGGGTTTTCTTTTGTCATCATTGAAGTCGAAAAATAATTGGAGCTGCAACTTCCAACCATAATTATTAAAAAGTGGCTGTGGGTGGTCAAGATAAGAATTAAGACAGCAGCTTTAACAGCTATGGTCCTGTCGCAGTAGCTCCGAACCCTTGCTTTTTTGTTGTGGAACTATGTACCAAAGGCACCATCGGCTGCGTTGGATCCAAGCCTCGTATTCATGTCCAATTAACTTTACATAGCTTTCACTCTTCTTTTTCTGAGCTAGCTCGAGAGCACTTGTCAGTCAGCATCACATGTGTGCTCAGCCATCGTGCAAGTGTCATGCACTGTGTGACATTGCTTTATCAGATGCTTGCATGAACCTGTTTCTATATATATTTAACAACTTCAGAAAATGACCCACCAAGCACTCCTCACCATCTGACAGCTTGTTTTCAGAACTCACATGATAGTTATAGCAAGGCATCTGGGAATGAGAAACAAATTTATCAAAGGTGAGAAATTTAAGTATGATTATTTGAACGACTAAATTACACTGCATGTGATGAAAGATTAGAAAAAACTAGCTAAGAGATCGAGGGTCGGTAGCTTCCTGTTGGGACCTTGTTGGCTTAATAGGGATGGATGATAGCTTTTAAAATAAGAAACAGGGAAATAATGTACTTGCTCGTTTGACTAGGAAACAAAAGCAACGTAACAGAACTGTCAAAATGATGTCTCAAATTAAACCAGCTTTGATTGGGTGTGGTAAATGTTGTTGGGGAGAGTTACTTAGCATCACCCACACGGTCATTTGTAATACCATCCTCATCAAGTCCCTTTAAAGGATGGCAAAATGTACCTGTCTCGTCCACTACATGCTGATTGATTAGTTTACTATTACACTGGCGACTATTGCGGACTAATCACGACGGAAGAGATCACTCAATGTCTCTGACTGTTTTGACAAGGTAATCATCATAACTTAATTAACTGCTTGCTTAACGGCTCTCCATATATGCCGACTACGATTTTGTTGCTTAATTTCCAAGGGAAAGCACCGCGTATACAGTCTTGAAGATTATTGTTGTCTTTCAAAATAGTGATACATTGTGCATACGCTCTCTGTGATCTTCTATATATTTGATATGTATTTAAATTCATTCATATTCTTTTGAATTTTTTTATCATGAGTATTTTTCGTGGATGACATAATTTGGTTATTTCCTGCGTAAGTTAGAAGCCTGTGTTGTTTCCTTTTTGGTGCAATGCAAATATGTTCTCGGTTAAAGTCCATTCTTTTGGTAGTAGTGAAAGTTGTTTTTTATTGCAGCGTATAATAATGTGCTTGCAGCGCCAACACCTTGTAACCCACATTTGTATGGTGTTATTGGCACTCTTAAATTTGACCGGCCTCCTCCCCTGGACATATATAAAAGATCTAACAAATACATTTGTTTGGGTTTCTTTGAGAATCCAAGGTTCATTCATTGTATCCAAAGTGCTTTCATGATCACTTTGAATCACACTTATTTTTCTTCTTCAATCTCAGAGAAACAATAATAGTATTGAGAGGCGTAGTTGTGGTGATGAGGGAATGTTGATATACGCATGTTCATGATGACAATCCGCGGATTCACACTGTTTCATTCGACATGACACGTGAGTCTCAAACGTCGAAGCTCTTTTTAAGAATTACAACAACATCATACACTGGCCTCACCGTTTCCAAGTTTCAAAATCTTTATCATACCAAATCATTCTTTGTCATTGTTACCGATCCTCGTCACCACCTCCATATCGTTTTATTTTTTTTTAATAATTAAATCGTAAACCGTGCTTTCTGTAGAGTATGAGACGCGGCAATGTTAATCATTTACAGACAACTCGCCTCTATGTTATGTTGGGCTTCTTAGATCGAAGGCCCAAGAGAGCCCGGGACTTCGGCCGGTTAGTCTGGTGATGACTGCAGGAGAAGGGGAGGATACGTCACGTGATGCGGTCGGCGTGATTCTCACGCGATGCTAAGAAAACGAGGGAATAACATTGACTTTTTTTATTGCAAAAAAGTGAAAAACGGAGAGAAGACAAGGCGGTGGGGTGCTCAAAATCAAGTCAGGGCCGTACGTTGTTTGAGATTCGAACGCAGCATAGAAAGTTCGACGTCGATACCGAAAGACAGTGCTGCAGGACAATCCTGCGCTCTCTGCTTCGTAAATTTATATATTCAAAATATAGGAGCCGGAGACTCCGTGTGACTTCGTGGGAGCATTACTGAGGGACGTAGTGTTCGAGAGAGAGCGAGGGGATAGAGAGCGAGATGTCGGGTATTGCTCGTGGACGCCTTGCTGAGGAGAGAAAGGCATGGCGCAAGAACCATCCTCATGTCCGTACCACCTCCCTTCCTTGCTGCTACTGTTTGTTTTTAGTTCCGATTCAGTTAATTTCTTACACGGCTCTCCTATGCTTCTGATGGAGTTGAATCGATGCTGCTGTTTTATGTGTTTTAGGGTTTTGTTGCGAAGCCGGAGACGCTGCCAGATGGTACGGTGAATTTGATGGTGTGGCATTGTACTATTCCTGGCAAGGCTGGGGTATGTTCTCTTTTCCATCATTTTATTTGAAATTCTTTTCACTTATCTTTGCTATTGTTTTCTGATCTATGAAATCAAATTCCCCGGGCTTTACATTCTATTGGTCTGCGATCCTGGCGCTTATTAATGCCAGTGAAGACATCGCTCTTATAAATTCCCAACAATGGAGGAGAATTGTGTAAAACTAGGTATGGAACGATGACATGCTAATAAGGCTAGAGAACAGTAGTTGGTATTTTTTACAGGAATGGGTTTTTATCAAGAAGACCAAATTGGTTAACTTGCATATGTCCAAGGGCTGATATGTCATATCAGATGCTAGTCTAAATCCTATTAATGGAATCAGTGATGATAGGGTGTTCTAGAATTGAATATTTATTATAGTAATCAAGTCACAATTCATATTGTGATTCGGGAAATTAATTTTTGATTTGTCAGTCTATTGAATTGTATGATTTTGATACGCTATGAAACATAGCTTGAATTATATCATGTAAATGATAAGTACCATAAAGAAGATAGAGGTAAAAGAAAAAACCGTTCGTATAATGATTTTGGTCATGAATCTGCTGTGTGGCAATAAAAGAAAGAGTTGTGGTCCCACTCAGGGTGCAGTACAAAGGTTTTGCTAGTTTAACTTGTGGTTTTAGGTTTGAGCTCTGGGTACTTAGCTGTGTTTAAACTTGTTGGCTGCGTTTAAATCTATTTTCTTTTTTAAAAGAGTTGTAAATTTTTCATTCCTCTATTTTTTTTGTATAACTGTTCATCTGATGAGGTATGAATTATATAACCTTATATATTTGCTGGTTAAAAAAAAAAAAAAACTTATAGCCCGTTTGGTTCAATTCCATTGCACCTTTGCAATGGTAATCTTTTCCCCATTACCATTCTAAGTATGTTTGGTTGGGTTATTGATGGTAATAAGCATTGCAATGGTAATATCCATTGCACATTTTTTGGAAATAAACATTCATAGGGAGGGGGCTATGAATGATCACTGCGCACCTGCAATCCGTTTGAAAATGTCTGTTTTATCCCCAATAGCGTAGGTAAAAAGACAACAATTGCCTTCAACATTTCTCTTTCATTTCTTCCAAGTCTCCCTCCCTCTCCAGAACTTCTTTGCCCTCTCCCTCCCTCCTCTGTCATTGGCTCCTTCTCTGTCATCTCCCTCCATCCTTCTTCCTTGTTTGCTCCTTCTCCATCAGGCTGCTTGAGCAATCAAGTTGTTGTTCTACCTTCTAATTATTGATAAATGGTAGTAGAGAACATGATAGAGGTGCCGTCATTGTCATCATGGAAAATGGAGTTCAAACTAATTCATAAGAGTTCAACCCAAAACTTAGCATTCAGTGATCTGCGGAGGGAGATGGAATGTACATTGCCAATTGAAATTACAGAACCACCTTCACTTCCTCAGCCATTGCAGCAACAGGCCCATTATCTCCGGCAGGGATCTCATGCTTCTCCGGCAGTGGTGGGGAAGGCTCCAGGGCTGATTGTTCCACTTGGGGTTCCACTTCCACTACAGTTGCTGAACTTGGAGGTCCGATCCCATTTTGGATGTGGAAGCCTTGAAGGCAAAGAGAAGAAAGAAACGGTTGTCAGGCCTGAGGAACATGAAAGTTGTGGCTGATATCAGGTTTACTGTACAATGAAGGAGTGGTTAATAATCAAGTTGGAGGAGAAGACGATGTCATAGTAATCAACATTTCTTTGATCCAGATCTGTGCTTGTGCTTGCAATTGCTTTAGACCTGTGGTTGTGATTTTTATTGATGAAGGTAGAAGAAGACAATCAATTGAGAGACGTGATGATTTTTTTCCCTTTTTTTATTGAAGGGCATTCTGGATTTATTATTTTTTATTTCATTAAATCATGAAATGTATAAAAAAAAATTTTTTTGCTCAACCTTCTTAATGACGTACCAAACATATTGATGGTAATGAGAATTGCATTACATCTCATGGGACTGCATTGCATTACCATCTTTAGGGACTTGGGAATTGAACCAAACAGGCCCTTACAGATAAACACTGCCTTCTGTGGCAACTTGCAGCGTGTAAAACGTGTTTCGATTTAGTTATTGTCACTGCACATCAAAAGCTGCATTTTCTATCTTTCATTTTCTCCTCTGCCCCTTTACTGAAACGCATTTTTCTGCCCTTGGAAGCTTATGAAGCCTTCTGTGATTTTATCCCGTTATTTTCTCAAGAAGAAAAGTCAGTTTCTTGCATTGTGTCTTTGGGTCATGTTGGGTCATTGATGACCTGACCTCTCTTTGCAGCCGATGTGAACCAGGCTGCTGGAATTGCCAGATCAATGTGAATTGTGTTTACGAGCACAACTTGCATGATTCTGACAATTCAAGCAATGATTTCAGTCATCACATGATTTGGACCTCTAATCTGTATTGTTTCTTCTGGGATTTGTGTATATTCCAGATTGGATCTTGTCTGATTTTGAAAACTATGGTTATCTATATGTCTTCTGGTTTAACTATGTAAACATCTCTTCTAGTTGCATAGTGTTTTGACTTTAAAGTTTATCAACCAAAGGTATCTTGCTTAGTAGTTCAAATGTGCCTAGCACTGCGCTTGTGGCTTTTTACACCAATGCTTCAAGGAAAATCTATCTTATCTCTTGGCATATAATTGAGACAGTTTTGCAGTTAACTAAAGTTATTCAAAGAATAATAAGAATGAAGTGCCAGAAAGAAAGTTAAATGGGTTAATTGAACCTTTCTTTTGTAGGAAATTGCTTTCAAGGGCCTATTAAGGCCTTAAGAAGTTGTTGCGATTGGAGCACCATTCCTTGTTGTTGTTGTTCTCATGCTTCATTTCTAGATTAGGATAGGATTGATTTTGGTTTTGATTTCTTAGCCCACAAGAGAATGGATTTAATGTACTTGTTTGTTTGCAGATCTTGAATACAGTTGGCATGTTCTAATTCTAACAGCTTTTGATAATATGCTCCCTTTTCTTTACATGGGATACTAGGGCAGTATTGAAATGCATGAGTTCTTGGATGATGCTATAAAGAAAATCTAGTAACATTTGGACTGGATCAATGCAAGATTTATGCATCCTGCTGCTTTATTATATCAGAAATATATTTCTATGTGCGCATATAATATTGAAGCGGTGGTCATTTGGACTGTGTGATTTATCTTAGCCTTTGAAGAAGGGTGCAGAAGAGAGAGAAGAAGTTTGCTGATATATATATATATATATATTTTAAAGCAACCAGAAAGGAAAATGCTGCAGCATTCAATTTTATATATACTCACAAGACCAAGGGGAAATGGGATGTTTTTGCTCTTTTGCATTTAACATGACATGGGTTTTATGGTAATTGAAAGCAAAAAAACTATTTTAGTTTCGAAGTTAGTTTTTTTCTTAAAAAAAAAATTAATGATATATTTTCTGACTTAATGTTTTGGAACATGATGGTAAATGGATTAACAGCTTGTTGAAATAATAGATACCTCATTATTTATCTCAATGGAAATTCTGCATTTGAATTGCTGCAGACTGATTGGGAAGGTGGCTATTTTCCGTTGACATTGCACTTCAGTGAAGATTACCCTAGCAAACCACCAAAGTGTAAATTCCCACAAGGTTTCTTCCACCCTAATGTCTACCCATCTGGAACTGTTTGCTTGTCTATACTTAATGAGGACAGTGTAAGTGTAGATCTTTTGATAAAGACAGTGCTAAGTGAATATAGTTAATGTAGTGTGATTTATACTTTTCTGAGCGAAAAGATTCTTACAGTAACTGTTGCGTGCAGGGGTGGAGACCAGCCATAACTGTAAAGCAAATTCTTGTGGGAATCCAAGACTTGCTTGACCAGCCAAATCCTGCTGATCCTGCCCAGACAGAAGGCTATCATCTCTTTATCCAGGTACTTAACTGGGAAGATTCTACAATCTCTATTTGAAACGCTGTAAATAGTTGATCAGGGTAAAATGAGGTGAGGCATTGGCATTCATATACTTCATAGAGTCTGAATATACATCATTATGCTTCATGCAGGATGCGGTGGAGTATAGGCGAAGGGTGCGACAGCAGGCAAAGCAATACCCAACTCTTGTCTAGATGATAAATGGGCACAGTTCAAGAATTATTTGTGCTATGGTAGATACTGGTTGCTGTCTCTTGTTCTAAAGTTAAAACTGTTACGTGATTGCTGGCTGCCATAATATGCAGACCCTATGGTTTTAACTGATTGTGCTTGCTCAGGTCTGGATATAATATTGATACACAACAATGTTAAAGTCAACCAATGATGCTTGTTGATAATTTCGTCAGCAGAAACCTGCTGAGGCCTGATGTTTGTTGCTACATTGCTATGACAATAGATACTTTTCTGTGAAGAGTAATATGACTGCTCTCTCTCTGTGGAACTGGAACTGGAGGTATTCCTCTATTCGTATGCATAAAACTGTAAGCCAATTGGGTTTAAGTCGCATGGGCATGATTCCATCATAGCATGGTGCTTAATGCTTATGTTTACATTCTTGACCTCTGCAAGAAAACTTTTATCGTGCCTCCATTTCCTTCCACAGGCACCTCGCTTCGTTATCATTGGAAGCTCTGCCTCGGGAAAAGGAGTTCCCTTTCCACCCCCTTTCCGCCTTAAGTCATGGCGATGCCATTTTTATAAGCTGGCTTCTTTTTGGTTTTTCAATTTTTGTCTTCCACCTGAATGAAAACATGTAGTAATAATAATAGTAACAATTTGTTTTCATAAAATATTTATTGAAGTGGTTAAATTCTAGTTAATTTCTGCTGCACAAAGAATTGGTTTATCTATGGAGGAATGATATTTAAGTTCAAAAGATTAATTTATTAGTAGTTATATTTTTAAATTTATTTTTTCTGAAAAACGAACTGCAGACACTGGTTCTGAAAGTTGCTATATGAATTTCATATGTATATTGAAAGTTACATTTAAAATTTAAATAGTTTATTTATAACCGAGACTAGTAAGTTTTTAGTTGTTTAAATTAATATTTATATTTTATTTTTTAAAAAAATGCACTGAGGTTCTATTTGTTATTAAATCAAGGGAAAATGGCAATGAAGTATTGTTGGAGAAAATTTATATTAATTAAGGATCGATGGTTGTCAAAATTTGAATAGAAAACAAGCATGAATTGATTTTTATTAATTTAGAATGAATTGTTAAAATTAAAATAAATGTCTATTGATAAAAGAATAATATAAATTAATAAGTATTCATTTCAGTTTTAACAATAAATAATTTTTATTTATATAAATTTTCTCAATCCTTGATATTTTTCTTTAAATCAATCTTCATGCCTAGATCTCATCTTTTTTTTCAATGGCTCGTTCTCATTCATAACTATCAGTAGTTGCAGTTCCTAAAGAAAATGCTAATTTTATGTGGAAGGTAATATAAATCTATATCAGAATAAATTGAATTTCATGTGCCTTGTCATTAGTAGTTAGTTCGTATCAATCAACTTTACTATTAATATACGAGCAGGTCAATTTATTTTCCTACTTCTACCTTTTCGGCCAAGAAATTCAAATTTTGTCCAGTGAACGAGACTCATTTAGGCCCGCGAGTTTCACATACAAGTCATCTATAATTCAGTGTAAGTTGTATATATAAATTTACATGTGAATTATGGTGAGTGATAATATAAAAATAAAACTGATATATATATATATATATATATATATATATATTAGTTCTAAATTATGCATTCTTCTTATATTGGGAACGTATGCTGGTGCTTTTATGGCAACTAGTGAGTGTTGCATAGAACTCAAGAAATAAGTTGTGCAGTATTTCTAAGATTCATTGGAATTTTTGTATCATGTATAAATTTTATAGCTCCATGGTTTCTGATGTAGATGTTATATCATAATTAGTTAACAAAATTTATAATTTATTATACCAATATTATGTGAAAAATCAATTTACAAAAAGTTTATCAAGTTTCATGTTGGTCATTCTTTCACGGTGAAAGAGAAGATAAATCATAAGTTTTAATTTATGACTCACCTATACGATTTTATTTTTAATGAATATATTTTGAGACCTTTTTATATATGTTATATGGAATTTAAAAAATGTCATAAATTTATAACTTGTAAATTATAAGTTTTAATTTAGGAAAAATATCAATTAAGGACTGTTGGAAAGAATTTATATCAATTAAGGATTACTTGTTGTCAAAACTTGAATGGATATTTGTTAATGTCAGTTTTTTATCAATAAGTATCTATTCGAATTTTAACAATAATTTATTTTAAATTAATAACAATTAATTTTATTTTTTATTTAAGTTTTGATAATAATTAGCCTTTGATTAATATAAATTTTTTCTAGTAGTCCTTGATTACAATTTTTCTTTTAATTTATGACTCATCTATGCAATTTTATTTATCACCAAAAAGGAAATTACACACACTGATAGCTTAAACGAATAAAACACAAAAACAACTTACATGCGACCTAACACGCAAAACTCACCAAAAATAAACAAAACAATCTGAGCAAAACAAGTTCAAATAATAATCAACCAACATCAGTTTTGTTCCAATCATTTTAGAAACAATCAAAAACAGAAATTCAAACACAAATAATTCTATTCCTTTGTTTTTTTTTTTAACCAGCAAAGGTTTGTATTCTGGTTGATTTATGTTTTATTATACAAACACATAAAATATTCATTGTCTGATTTTTAATTAAAAGTTGTCTTGGTCCAAAAAAGACAAATAAAAGGTTGAAAAACCTTTTTGCGGATATTTAAATTTTTAAAATAAATAATTAGATGCTAAAAACTATATTTTGTTTAGAGAGTGGGGGATAGAAAAAATAATTCTGCTGATCTGGTTTCGTTTTTGGCGCACCAAATTGATAACTCGCAAAGTCTTTTCAGGGAGGGATCCTCCTATTCAGAGCTCCAATCGAGCCCCATGGACGACATGGCTGCCTACTACACACAGTCCCAACCCTCGACACATCATACTTTTCCATATTATCAACATCCTCATCCGTCGTCGCTTGCGGTGGTGCCACCACCTCCTGGGGCGGCTGCTCCTCCGGTCCCTCCCCATCTTCCTTCGCAGTATGGGTCCTACCAGCAACCCTTGTTTTCTTCTTACGGCCCTCCTAATCCACTTCAGTATTCCGCCGACGAGGTTCGGACTCTCTTCATCGCCGGCCTTCCCGAGGATGTGAAGCCTCGCGAAATCTACAATTTGTTTCGAGAGTTCCCCGGATACGAGTCATCACATCTTCGGAGCCCGACTGAATCGTCGCAGGTACTGTATATATTTTGTGGTCTCGAATATTTATGCTATGTTCAGTCATGTCTTCCTGATGTAAGATAGGACCAGAACAAGAACACCGGTAGCTCAATAACTTCAATATAATTTATGATTAAAAATAAAACTTAAACGCGTCGATGTAAGATAGCAAGTAGCTTTTGTGTAATCTACAAAACCAATTAAAAAGCAACTAAAATGCTGCTAACAATCAGAATCCTGCGAACGGATCCCAAAACTCGTAGCTAAGTTCAAAAATACCAAATCAATTTAAAATCTCAAATGGCAAGCCCTAAGTTAAAACCCTAGTCAAATCTGTTTGCGTTTTGCCTCATCCAGCATTTTAGTTCGTGTGTGGTGATATGGCATTCTCCATGCAAGGGCGCTGTTTAAATCTAGTTAACTGATGATTTTGGTTATACCTGTTTCCCTGTATTCCTTGTAGCCATGTCGTGTCAGGCTATAAACAGATTAACTTCATGCAGCATTGTAATGGTGAAGTTTCTTACATACCAATGATCTCTGAGCTTGATTTATGATGTTAACGTGTATAAAACAATTTGATTAATGGAGTCAGATTTCTGGTTGCTGGCTTGTTCATCGTACAATTATGATAATCTCAATCTGGCCTTTCTGATGAAATGTGTGCTCACGTTTCTTCACAGCCTAAAGCAAATTAACTTTAATAACCCTTTATCTTGTTGTAACACATTTTATTTTAAAGTATTTCATTCTTAAATTTCTCTGTTCTGATACCTTCTTTTCTGTTGAGTGTTGACAGGCTTTTGCTTTTGCTGTATTCTCTAATCAGCAGTCTGCACTTATGGCAATGCATGCGTTAAATGTAAGAGGTCTTATTACACCATACATGTTTATAAGTTAGAAGATATGCTTGGTAGCTTAGAGAACATACCAATCAGTTGATTTTCAATGTAAGGGGAGAAACAAATTATTTCACTTGGGTGTTAACATCTCTTGAGTTTGCTTGGTTTGCAGGGGATGGTCTTTGACCTTGAAGAGGGGTCAACTCTATATATAGATTTAGCGAAATCCAACTCTAGGTCTAAGCGCACAAGACTAGGTCTTCTTCCCAGTCATTTTTAACCTTCAACTGAATTCTTTTATCTGTGTATTCTATGCTTCAAGTGCTTCCAAGTTCCAACTGAATATTTTGGGCTCTGATTGATTGCTACAAACAGATGATGAAATAGTTGGCTCAGATAAGAAGGCTAGAGGATCTTCTTTTTCAGCAGCAACTCCTGATTCCGGTGAGCTGGTTTTGCTTGGTTGTTTTAGTTTATAGGTGCTCTCAATATTTGCTACTTGTTTGACATTTTTCAGTTTGCTATCCTAGCATTTTTTTATGTTCAGTTCAATATCTAATCTCTTACTTGGAGACCAGTTAATGATTGATCACACCAAGGACACTTTATCTATGGGCTCACTTTGCACATGTTTTGCACGCTTGGGCACTAGCAGGTGTTGGCAGCATACACATGCCTGGAATGGGTAATTCTGCTTACAACACAAACACGTATGGTTATCCATCTGCACGAAGGTCATATGCACTACTTGAGCACAACTTTTTTATGTGGAACTGATGTGTCTTAATATAAAGCACATCTTTTTTAACTTTTTGAAAGTTACTTAGGAGAGATCTATTTCTTTTATAAAAGAATTAATGCACTATATTTGAAGTCAGACCGTTGGATTTGCCTTTTGAAGTTGTTGCCTTTGTATGTCAGAGTCTCATCTAATTGGATTATTATTTGTTTGTTTTCTATTATTTAGCCCATGGTATGTTGATGGTAAAGCTTTTAATGACAGTGCAGCACCAAATTTGGTGAGTTTTCTCTTCCCAATTTTCTTCCTTTTGCTTTTCTCAATTTATAATGTTTGAGCCGTAATGTCAAGTTTGTATTTAGTCATGTCTTTTTTTGTACCTTGTCATAATTTTTTGAATTACGTTATCTTCAAATGGTTATATCTTTAGTGTTCAACAGAACCAGCACATAGTGCTTTGATTATGGCATGCCTTAATTACATACGGTGATCAATAAGCGATAAAATCTTTGTGTGTGTGTGTGTGTGTGTGTGTGTTGTTGCAGTTGTAGAAAACTTATTTAAAAGGTGAGATTCCACATATTTGTTCTGATGTCTGAAGTATAAATGGTCTGCCTCCATTTTTCGCCTGTCTTTGTTTATCTGTGACCATGTTATAGGGGAGATAACTATTTCTCTGGTTCTGCTGTGCTGCATTTGTTTCTTCTTCTTAACAGAAGTTAGCTTTCTAGTCTTTTAGAGGTGTCAGAACTTATACACTTAGTTTCCTTTTGGGGAAATAGTGCAGCTGTCCGCTTCTTTTGACCACTAAGCGCTAGAATTTTCATTGGAGGTGATATGTGCAGCAGTAATGTTTCCACTTTTCAGTCAGGGGGTAGTTGTTGGCTCTGCTATAGACTCGCTTTTATTTCAATACAGCTCGGAATCAAATATTGACTATCTTTTTCTATAATTGGTTGGATTTAGACATCCCTTCCTCTCTTTTGAATCAGGGCTTGTTTCCTTTTCTTTCCTTTTTTTTTTTTTCAAAGGAGAAGTTATAGTCTCCCTTTCCTTGGGTCATTAGAGTACATTGAGAACTTCTTCCTTATTTTACCAACGGTGGTGAAGTTTAGTAGGAGTTAGTTCCTTACAATGTGGTGAACCAAGGCCCTATATGGTATGTGGGATTGGGACTGGCACTGAGAAAACCCTACTTTCCATGTTTGGTATGGATCATTGAGTAATCCCAATCCAATCCCAATTCCACCGTACATGGGATTATTCAGTACCACCCACCTTTTGGTATTACAAAATTAATCTTGGGATTGAAAATATTCGGTCAAAATTGCCCTCACCTATCTCTCTTCCCCTCGTCCCTACCCTTCCCTTCCCTTCCCTTCCTCAATAGCTGATGATGTGTCTTCTACCTACAATGGCTGTCCCTTTCATTCTCTACCTCCCAATCTAGTTTTCTTGCTGCAGTACACGATAGATATTGTTGGCATCTGTTACAGTGACCTTTCTATTTTATCCTCACTTCTTGTGCTCGTTCTTCAGAACCCTATTTTGTTTTTGTGCAAAAGGAGGTTGGGGAAGATAAGAACTTTTCTCCACGCTTGGTAAATGCACCGATCAGGCACTGATGAAGTTCGATTTTGCTATATCTGGGTTCATCTTCCTCTCACCATCAATGTCAACAGCAAGTCACTGGTTTGAGTTTGAGTTTGCCATTGATGTGTTCAAGTTCATCTTTTTCTAGATTTGGGTTTGGCGTCCCACCATTGATGGGTTCAAATCTTCCCTTTCGTGTGATTGTGCTAGGTTTGGGATCAAGTTTGTCATCTTTCTCTTTGGAATGTAGATCGGTTCATCTTCAACCTTCGACTGTGTGTTTTTTTTTTTAATTAATGATAAGGGGCATTATAGTATTTTGATAATTTTTTGTTGATTATAAAATAAAATTAATACTAGTATTTCATTTAAATAATATTTCATACCAAACATAGTTTTAAAGCCTCGATTCCAACTCCAATCCCAATCCCAATCCCATTCCTTCAAAATTCATACCTACGTACCAAATAGGGCCCAAGGTTTGAGTCCTTATTGGGAAAATGTGCCCACATTTAGTGCCAACCTTGCTTTGAACAGGCTTGTCTCTAGAAAAAAGAATACTTGTGTGCAATAAAAAAAAAAAGCTCTTCAAAACAAAAAATTGATCATATTATCAAGATTTTGTTCTTATATCACTGTTCAGTTGCGTGCTTTCTAATTGGGTAATGGAAAGAGATTTGCAATGTGCATGATCTTATCTTTTTACATGGACGGGAACTTCATATATGCTCCTGTTCCTGTAGTACTATTTATTAGGCTGTTGAAGAGTATATTACTTAACATCATATATTGGGCCTCCTGAGTTATGTCCTTCAAAGTTCCTGCTATTTACATCATATATCTATCAAGAGTACATTGCTTTACATTATATATCGGGCTTCTTAAGATGAGTTATATCCTTCAGGCTATACCTATACGCTCCTAAGTATTTCCTTTAATGGTGTGGCTAAACAATATTTGTTTTGATTCAATGGGTTTCTCATCTATGAATTATTGTGTGTTATCATTTTATTTGTTTCTTCTTTACATGCCATGAAATTTGAACTCTATTTATTATGCAACTTACTTTTCCACTTCATGTAATATTTTTGTCTTTTATTTATATAGTTATTTTTGGTTACATATCTTTTTGCCTTTTATCTGACAGAGTAACTCCTCTCGCATTCCACAAAATGCGACCCCATGTCCAACTTTATTTGTGGCTAACCTGGGGCCATCTTGTACTGAGCAAGAGCTAATGCAAGTATTTTCCAGGTCAGTATTAATCTCATAACATTATATTTACCATTCTCCTCTCTTAATGTTGATTCAATCATGTGACATGTGGGAAAATCGTTATCCTCAACACCAACATGACACATGAACATTGACGTAATATTATATATGAAAAGTCAGATGGATTTGAGTTTGATTATTGCATTTGTCAGATGTCCTGGATTTTTGAAACTGAAGATGCAGAGCACATATGGAGCTCCAGTTGCATTTGTTGATTTTCAGGTATTTATTTCGTTTTCTTTTCCTGTAGCATTGACGCCTGACTATGCAGTAATTACTAATTAGGACGCTCTTATAGCTCGATTTGTACTGTTTGCCAGATTTATGTTAACGATTAATTCCTTCGTTGCTCCCTTTTTATTATTCATTTGACAAATAAATAAAGAAGTATAAAATAGGGAAAATCAGAGGTCCCACAGACGAATTCTAATCACCAAGAAGTCCCACGAAGTGCAAAAATAAATCTTAGGTCATGTGGGCTTTGATTGCAAATATGTTCTGGGGTGCATTTACCAAAGTGCCCTTATTTTAAAAATAAAAAATCCAGGAAAAACACCCGCAAAACTGAGAACTGGGAAACCTGGAAAATCAATAGACCCAGATTTTCCTCTTTCCCATAGCATAAACATGCCATTGAATTAGAGTGACTGAAGGTTTCGCACAGCAAAGGGAATTTCAAAGTCGGAATCTTTCGAGGCTTTTCAAAATCAGACCCAATAACTCCATTCTATAAAGAAAGCTCCATAGGCAACTCCACTTTTTGATGAGATTTGCTCTCAAACATCTTAGGGGATTCCATATCAATATCTGGTGAGCCCACACAAATGACCAAATCAGGTGACGATAAAGAATATCCTAACAGTGATCTACCTAAAAAATTCATCCCCATTCGATGAGATTGTCAGGAAACCACAATTGAAAAATATAATATCTATAGCCGATTAAGCAGTGTGGAACAAAGCAAGAAATGGGCTCTCTTACCATCAACCACATTTTTTCAGAGTACAGCTTGTTGGAAACGCTGCAGTGCTTCTCTTCACCTTGGATTTGTGCTGGGGTGCGGAAACCGGAGAAGCTAGCAGAATCAAATCTGATGTCGCCAGAGATGGAAGAATGGCGATGGTGGTGATCAGTTTGGATGAGCCTATTCAAGCACGAATCAAAGGATTGTTATTGGACTGACGGGGTCCCCTCTGGGTGAGATACTAGCTCTGGTCAAATGGTGGTGGCGAAGTGTGCATCAAAGATGGTGAGTTCAAGAGAAATCCACCCGTCATGGCTACTGTTACCAGTATCCATAGCACCACCATTCCAAGCTACCATTCTAAGCAAATGCAATCAACTATGTTCCTCCAGGAAAGAAGCCCCATTGAACCCCAGTGGGGTCATAGCAGAGAATGGTGGATCATGTTGATGTTGACGGTGGTGCTGGAAAGGGCATTTTAGTAAATGCACTCCAAAACTTGTTTACAATTAAAGCCCATGGGATCTCTCAGTTATTATTGCATTTTGTGGGACTTTCTGGTAATTAGAATTCATCTATGGGACCTCCGCATGATTTTTCCTATAAAACAAGTGCAATGATGATGATGACATGAAAATTGTTGCGAAATCTGTCAGCGCATTAAATTTAAACCAGTATAGGTTTGTTTTTAGAAGTAATTCATATCATTTGGACGTGTTGATACTAATCTATTCATTTCTGACAATTTGGGGCTTGATCCGACTGATCATGTAGAACGTTCTGTGAAGATCTGAATGTTATTTTTCTCTTGCAAAAATGTACGCCAAGTTCTTTTGGATTCTGACTTCTCCTTGGGTGCTAGCTTTTTTATTCCTGATTGTATACCTGTGTGCAGGATGTTGCCAGCTCAACTGGAGCTCTAAACAGTTTGCAAGGCACCGTTCTTTTCTCCTCAGCAGCTGGCGAGGGAATGCGGTTAGCGTATCCTTTGGTCACTCCGCATTTTAATGCTCAATTTTCTTTTGCTGTGAGAAGGAAGGAAGGGGGGGGGGGAAGCAATCAAAAGATTAGGACTGGGGAGGAAAATGCGCTTGTCCTGTATCTCATCCTTTCTGATCATGCTTTATTGACTTCCCTAATGTTCTGTTTTGCTTAACAAGAAATCTAGATATGCAAAGTCACGGATGGGGATGCGGAAGAAGCCCAAGTAAGCTATGCGCTACAAAAACAATCAAATATAAGAGAATAACGTGAAAATAAAAGGACGAATGCGACGAGAGACTCAGAGTCTCGATCAGTCACCTCGGCATGTGTCTGATAGATTGAAGATTGAGTCGATCAATGCTCTACGCGAATTTCTGAATTTCATTTTTTTTTTTCCCATTGCCGTTGTCAGCGTTTTCCAAATCTTTGTATCAAATTTTCTTTCATGTAAAGCACATGATGGTTAAAGGAGTGTTTTTCTGTCGTTCTAGTGCCCTTTGTTTTCAATCCCACGCAGTGTATTGGGGCATGCGTATATTTACGTTTCATACACGCGCTCTCCTCAATTATCAACTGTTGTATTTGGCTCATCCCCCCCCTCCGGGGCGGGGGTTTGACGTTTTATATTTTATATCAATGACATTATTGATTTTTACTAGTTAAAAATATATTGGCGATGTCAGCATCAAAGCCAAGATTTTGACACTCCCTAGTTTTCGCTTGTGGAAACATTTTCTTTTCCTTTTTCCGGTGAAATTTTATCTAAGTAGATTACCACTTCCATTCATTCTTTTTCGTGTTTAATCTTTTTTATCTACAAACTCTAGTCTGCACTCCTATAATATAATTTTTGTATTAGGAATTTACAACTCAAAAAAGCTAATTAATTCAAGTTAGATTTTAAGTATTAAATTTCAGAAATTTACAATTCAATATTTCAATTATGCAACTATTATGATGAATTTATAATTTATTTTAAAAATTTTAATATAATTAAAAAATAAAAAAATATTTTTTATTAAAATTTGAAATAAAAGTTATAAATTTATGTAAAATTAAAAAAATGAGTTATAAATTTTTAAAATTTAACTTTTGAGATTTAAATTAATTGATATTTTTGGAACGGTCATTCTCCATTTGGAATTCTTTCGCCGTGTCACTCTTGACTTTTGAACGACAGTTTCACTATATTTTATGGATGGTTTTTTAGGGAATGACGAGGAAGGATCCCATAAAAAGATTAATGTTCACTTAGGATTTTTTTCATAACTGAAGTTCTTAAATTTACTACTGCTTTTTATATGTTTTAATATTAAATTTTTTTATTTAACATTAATTTTGTTATGATGTCCTTACTTATCATTTTCTTATGATTTTTTGAGGAATAGTCATCAAATAACAGGACGAAAAATGCTGCACCCTCTGTCGCACCGCACCCTATATTTGATAGGTCTTGGCGGTGTATAAGGGTAATTTGATGCGCCTCTTATTTATTTTATAATACATTAAATGTATTTATAATTTGATTGATATAATTATCTGTTCATTGCCATCTGTCACTTTATTTATTATATATAATTTTTATTTTTTTAAAAAAATAATTTTGTAGTGAAACTACAATGAAGAGAAAATTTTCGAAGTACCTGGGTAAATTCAATTACCCTTATTGCAAAGGATAATATACCGTATAATTCTTCCTATATTGTAATACTTGACAACCTTTCTCATTAACAAATGTTCAAAATCTGAATACGCTTCCTTCTTTATGGGATTCAAGTGAAGTGATTTGAACCTCCCCAAGTTCATGTTCTGAATAGAAGTTGCAGCTGCCTGGAGGAGGAGGTGTGATGAGATGAGCGTCAGCTTTTGAATGCCTCTCTGCTCTGTGTTTTCGTCTTTCTTGGATTCCCAAGTCAGAACTGCAGAACCAACCAAAAGAGTCCCAAACTTGAGCAGTCAAAGTCAGAGAACACTATTTCTCTTTTCCTGAACTAGCTAAGCATCTGAATTTTGCGCGCCAAAAAGGGATGAAGAAAAGGCCGCCTTTAAAACTCCAAGTCCAAGTGAAGAAAGCGAATTGTCGCAAATAATAAACAACGAAAAAGTCAATCGCAATAAAAGTCTCATTGAATTCCCCTCTCCCATTTTTCACTTTTTTCTTCAATCATGGAAATCTTGCATTGCAATTACTCCCCCAGCGTCTCCATCGTACAAACAAGTTATCTCCCTCCCATGCACTTGGTTCACTGTATTCGATGACTTTGGTGCCAATAATTTCAGACACATCTATAATAAATATCACTCTCTCCTATTCTTATTATAAATAAGATGCCTTTTAAAAAAAATTTATTCTTAATATAAGGCACAACAAGGTTAATAGGAATAAAATTAGAAGAAAAAAATTCATTTTAAGACATATCTAATGAATTAACTGTTATTCATTAATTTCAATAAAGTATTAGTTGAAAATGTTTTATAATAAGGATAACAAAGAATTCCTTTACACAAATGCACAATTATTAATCCTTCCAAACCTATTTATAAAATAGGGAGATAAATATTGTTTGGTTTTATTTATGAGGCATGCTTTTGACTTTTTCTTATTCATTTCCCTTTTTACCTCCTATAAATATTGGTGAGACAATTATGTTGTTAAGGAAATAATATTTAATATAGGATCAAAGTTAGAAACTTAATAAATTTTTTGAAAGATTTAATGAGTTTGAAGGTTTGCATTGATTTTGTTGAAACATATAAAAAATAACTTATAAATCAGTTCCAAGGGAATGCTTTAGTATCCTTTTAGTGAGATTAAGTCTTACTAAACTGTTTTTATTAGATGACAACCGTCAAGATAAATAAGGCATTCATCGTCATATGCATGCATTGAAAGAAAATCATCAGGTTAAGTTTTAAAGTTATCAACTCCCCCGATTTCAAGTTCAGCTAGCTTTGAAAAAAGCGTCATTGAGAAGAGAAAGAATCGTTGTCATGTAACCTAATCCATCAAAGACATGTAGAATTTAATTATTGGTTAACATCAACAAATTTTCTTTGGCATGTATTGGGAGTGTTTCTTGCAAGTCTTGTTAATACGGCACCATACTCGATGATTGATTCTAATGTTGCCCATTTTTAATAATATCGTGTTATGCACACAAAGCTTGCTTAAAGCGTTACAACCAAAATTCCCAAAGCTACAACCTTGCTTTTACGTTTATTTTATAGCAAAGCAAAAAGGCAAGAGCAAAGTTAGCCCATTTTCTCCATCACCCTTGGCTCTGTTCTCAAAAGTAGCCTACGCCAGGACAGAAAACATTATTGTGTTCGCAGCGCAAACTAATAAAAAAATCTTCAGATTATTATTATAATAGCAAATGAATCAGAGACACCAGAGGCAAAAGGCATGTGCATATTTTAAAATTATTATTATGTGAGCTGTCATGCAATAGTGTGAGAAGTATCCTTAGTTGTTCTGTTTATTTCATCCTTCTTAGCCTCGTGATTTTTTTTTTTTTTTTGGGTTTTGGCAAGCCTCTAGTTTCATTTAGTATCATTTTTAATTATGGGTTCAAATTTTGGTCTTGCTTGGTTTTTTTATTCTCCCTTTAGACCACTATATCGTATTGGTTTTAGATTGTGATGGAAGAAAACTAAAGACGTAAGCGACCAAATACAATTTTGGGATTGGAGGCAAGCATAGCTTAGATTCGAAATTGGAATCACGAATAAATCTTTTTGTTTTTTTTTAAATAAAAAACATTTTGCAGTGACCTAATCCAATGAAGTGATGCGTTGACAATTGCCATCAAATAACTACTACTCTCTATTTTTTAAAAAATATAAAATATTTTTAACAGATTTCATTTCTCAATTAAATAATTATTTATTTTTTAATTAATTTTATCTTTTTATATTTATCTCTATTAAACATCTATAATAAATATAAAATTATTTATTAATGAAAGCATTTAAAAAAAAGACAATGATTACATCTCAAAAAACTAAAAATATTTTATATTTTTTAACATTCAACTCCTTAAAAAAATACTTTATATTTTTAAATGAAGGAAGTATGTAAAATTATCCTCATAATTATGTTGATAAATAATTAATAGAAAAAAATGGTTACAACAGTTATTTTAAAAAGCCTCCCCTAAACATGATTGGGAGAATTGCACATAAGGCCCTCAAACTAGAAAAAGTTGCAACTAAGACTTAATGCATTATGAATTTACTCTGTAAGCCCATAGATCTTTGATGTACATATGTTTTAGCGAGAAAAGACCCATTTACTCCTCGTAAAACTAACCAGTGTTCAACTATGATCTCTTCTTCTTTCTCTTCTCTTCCTCTCTCTTCTTCATCTTCTCTTCCTTAAATTTGACATAGAAGGCCTTGAATTTGCTTGTAAGTTTCATCATAGAATCTATAACAATTTCTAAATGAGGCATAAGGGGGATATGTTGTTTGAAGGGAGTTGTACTTTGTAACATTAGACATTATTTTACTTTTGAAAGGGGTTTATTCATCTTTCATTTAGATACATATTTTGACTAAGTGTTGAAATTCAAATGAACTCAATTTCTTCTTGTAGTGAGATTTTCAATGACTGCTATAGAAGTTGTAAAAATCAGAACTTGTTATGACTAAGTTGTGAACATCTAAAGTAAAAAATGTTGGACTTTGAATTGTATATAACTAAACCTATAGACATATAGTTGTAAATTTGTAAACTTTGGCAAAATGTCAACTTTGAACCTTTACTTGTCAAGATATAAACTTTTACTTATAAGTATTTGAACATATACTAGGAAATATTAAGATCTTTACTTGTAAATTTTTTACCTTTACTAATTTGAGTAGGAGCATAAAATAGTTCAAGTGTGAAATTTTTTACTAGCTAATAGAACATCCCAATAATGTCAAAGCTCAAAGTGTCCTTGCACTATATAACACTCTAGCTTTTCACGAAAATATAATTTAATATTCAACTTTAGCTACTAAAACACTTACCATAGAAAAATGTCTACCATGGAATTAAAGGGTAACTAATTTTTAAAATACTATCATAATAAATAATGGTTTACTATAGTAAAAAAAATTTAGATGTCATTTTCAAAATCTACCATAGTAGAAAAGAAACTACCACGATAATTAAAAATTAAAATACTTTATAAAGTTTACCATGGTAGAAAGAGCTTTCCTTACAATGAAATAGTTCACAAAATGGATTACCATCCTTTTGATTTTGAGAATTGACACAAGTCTACTTAAGCTAAAATTTGACTAATGTGCTGTGGCACGTGGCATAATCCCAAACTCCTTTGATTTTATCCTTTTTAAGTTCTGAATGATCCGACTTCATTTCGAACCCAAATCTTAGGCAGAAATCATAACTAAAAACACTTGTTAGATCTTTCTAAACACACATCATGTTAATTCACAACTCAACCTCATTTAACTTAGCTTAATCCAATTAAAATTTTCAAAATGTTACAAAATTCAAGGCCTTCTGCATCAAATGTAAGGAAGAGGGAGAGAAGAAAGGTAATGAGAGAAAGGAGAGGAAGAGGAAGAAGAGGGAGGAGGAGGAGGAAGAGATTGGAGTTGAACACTGGCTGGTTTTGGGAGGAGTAAATAGGTCTTTTATCAGTAAAACATATTTGCATTTACAGCCTTCCAACTTGTAAAATAAATTTAGAATATATTGGGCTGTACTTTCATATTTCTCTGGTATGTGCGTCTAGGTGTAATTCTCCCAATATGATTATTAGCAGGGTGCTCGAATTTTACTTTGCAGGCCATCACATTTTTCTAAATTACCAGAATACCCCCGTGGAAGTGCCTTTAAGCAAGATAACTCAATTTGAAAAGGACAAAATTGCCCCGCTATGCCCATCGTTATTGCGTGGAAGGAAAGTCAATTCCTAACGGTATCCACCGACCACCGACCACCGACCTACCTCTTCGCTCTTCCCCCCCTTCAGAATTAATAATAATAATAATACTCTTCAACTAATTATGAGAAACGAATTAAAATTTTGAAATTTATGTTTTTTTCTTTTCCTTATCTGGTTTTTAATTCCATTTCACTAACCGCCAAAAGACAACAACCAAAGCTCACCGCCATAGAGCAGATGTTACGTCATATTTTAATCCCAACATGCATTATAAAAAAAAAAAATTACTACAGTACATTTATTCGTTTTTGGGCAAAAATATCTAACCTTTTTTCCACATTCGGCAAGAAAACCCAAACAAAGAACAAACCGAAGGTAGTTTCGTAAAGGATGAGGAGAGGAAAGCGTCTACTCGCATTCATGCAGCCAGGTCTTCGGGCATTAATTATTTTGGATATTTCAAAACATTCAATTTAATTTGTAAACATTTCATTGTGGTCCTTCATCAGTTTCCTTCGTTAAAGATGAGAAGATTCAGTAACAGTTTTATTACAGTCAAGTTTAGTGATGTGCTTGACTTCAATTCTTTATTTTGTTCTCTCCAAAAGCTGTATATCGTGCCTCAAAATAAATAAATGTACTATTTCAATTAAGGTGAAAATAAGTCAGGCCTTTATCAAAATTTATTTCAAGTCTAATTTAATATATTTATTAAATAAACTCAAGTCAGATTTAAACTTTTTTTTTATAGACCATTAATTGAGCCTATTTAACTTTTTCAAAGTTTAGTTTGCGAGTCTAACATGTTTGCCTATTTACATAAATATATATATATATATATATATTATGTAATATATCACATGCACATTAATTTCACCATTTAATTTTTAATAAATTTATTTTTAATTTTAAATATGTTTTCAATTATATTGGATTTATATATTAGTTTTTATGTTATTACTTTATTATTGTATTGTTGTTAGTAAGTCCTTTTAATTATCATATATTATAATTAATAAATTATATTATATATTTATACTAATAGTCTTAAATTTTATTTAAAATATTTAAAAATAAAATGTGAGTTTATTTAAAAAATTTACTTTTAAATAAGCTTTTAAATCAAAAAAGGTTTTAAATAGATTCAAACTTGAATCAAAAAAAAAAAAAACTTGATACAAACTTTATGTCAAGTTTAAGTTTATTTAATCTAAATCTAACTCGATCTAATTTATTTTTATCCCTAATCTCAACTTTAATATTGACAAAGAAAACAGAAAAGACGATGTCGGTGAAACGGTTCTGTAATTTAAAATAGGGAATATTTCATATATGTCCTAAATAAAAATATTATTTGCACACAATTCCAACAAATTTAATGAAATACTCACGGCGTGGTTGCAAATAACTTTCTTGGTTAAATATTGCACATATATATTCCTTGCATTTAACTAACATTGACTGATTGTCAATGATCATTCACCAATCACTTGGTCAGTCAAATAAAATATTTTTATTATTTTAATTTTTACAAATTAAATATTGTATATTTACAGGTCAATTGTCTTAAAATATTTTAATATTTAAAAAATTAAAGTTTATAGGTTTAATAGTTAAACATTTTAAATCTACGTGTAATTTTTAAAAAATTAATATTTTAATATTTACAAATTACCGTAGAGCCTTTTAATCGCTGGCTAAACTCCACAGCGAATTTGAGAGTATTTTGATTAGTTTCACAAATTTATAGAATTTATTTGTAAATAAGCATCTTATTATGACTTTTATAAATAGGGTCTTTAACTGGGACTTATTCATAATTTTATCTTCAGGCTCGGTTATTTATATTATATACTCTTTTTTGTTTCCCCGCCCCCCTTGGATTTGGGTTTAAAGAACGGGACATGGAAGCTTAAGCGGATGACAAGCTCAGTGGAGGAGTCCCACGAGGGTGTCTCCAAAAGGCGTTACTCTCTCGCACTCTCGCCATATTCCCCATTCCTCATGAAGATTCACTCTCTCTCTCTCCCTTTTGATTCAGATTTTACCCAAACTCGCCGAGGGGGAGAGATGGATGATGAAGCTGCGGAAGGTGGGGTGAGAGACAGAGAGACGCCGACCACGAAAAGAGGGGCAGTTGAAGGAGAGAGAAGATACAAAGGGATTAGGATGAGGAAGTGGGGCAAGTGGGTCGCCGAGATTCGAGAGCCCAATAAACGCTCCAGGATTTGGCTCGGCTCCTACTCCACGCCCGTCGCAGCGGCGCGGGCTTACGACACCGCCGTTTTCTATCTCAGGGGACCATCGGCCCGCCTCAATTTCCCCGACCTTTTAGAAGGCGGCGGCGTTGGCGGCTGCGACTGCGACATGTCGGCTGCTTCGATTAGGAAGAAAGCGACGGAGGTTGGTGCCAGGGTCGACGCGCTCCAGGCCGCTCGCCACCATCACCTCCATGCGTCGGTGGCTCCAGAGCTCATCTCACGCAGCGCAGGAGCCAGAACCGGCTCCGGGGAGTTTTTGGAGCGGGTTGATCTCAACAAGATACCGGAACCCGAGAATTCGGACTGCGACTGCGAATGAGACAGGAAGCAGAAGCAAATATCTAATGTGCAAACGTTCAGCATGAAGACAGACGGCCTGATGGATGATGGCTGTTCTGATGAAGCCTTCCTTATTCACTGGAGCGTACTCGTCTCATCCCCTCCTGATCCTGGCCAGTCTTTTTCTTCCATTCCGAAGGAATTTTGGCGTGGTTTAAAGAGTTAAATGTAAATTAATCAATTAATTAGTAATTAACTGGTCTCTTCAATTTCCATGATGATTTTTGTTGTTGAAGATGTTCGTAGCGTCTTGTTGTGGAGTAAATATTTGTTGCGTTGAATCAGGGCAAGTTTAGAAATTCGGTGGAAATCAGGATTTGTGGGGATGAGAATGAGGGGACAGGAGTGGCCTACAATGGGGAGAGGGAGCCATGTTAACCACTAAAGTTATAACTACTAAAAGAGAAGCGATAAGATCGAGAGAGTTTGGTTGTGCTGTCGATTGACAATCGGAGTGGTCGCTGCTTCTGCTTTCGTTTTCTTTGGGCATAACGATGCCTGATGGGGTCGCTTCATCGGTTTTGACGTTCCGATCTTTCTAACACGGCTCAAATCCTCACACAATCCACACTCTCATCTGTATCTTAACATCAACAATAGCAAACAAAATATCTTGCATCTCCGTGCCCGGCCAAATTAAAAAGGTCTCTGGCTCCATTAATTAATACTACTACCCGTGTTGTTCTTGCAACCATTTCGATTATGTGTTGGTGATTAAAACCTCCCACGGTTTGGCAGCACCACTGTTCATGACGGTTGTTACTAGTGGCTAAGACGCGCATTAACTCAGCATTGCCACTGTGCCACCAATGCATTGAAAACCAGCTCAGTTAAGTGTCATTACTAGCTGCATTGCACCTTTCATTCCTTGATATTTGCATCCGGATTCTCTCGGTAGAATTCGCCGACTAACTAATAATATATCTTGCAGTGATTTTCTGATTTGGATCTGAGCTGTATCCCATACTTTTAAGCTCACAAAGATATGTGATTAATCCATGATTAGCGGAAAGATTAAGATAACTTTTTTAAACTTGTTCTTATCTTAGGACTGAGGGGTGGCTTATGGTCAGAAGTAGGTGTGTGATTAAACTATTAAAGAGGTCGCCCTCCCAGCGGAAAGAAAAAGATTCTCTTCAGAGGCTGGCTGGCTGAATCAGCCAAGGCAGTGCGAGATCTATTCCTAGGTAAATGTATGTCACATGTTATCACCCAAAAAACACAAAAACAAAAAACAAAAAAACGTTGCGTGTGGTCGGAGGCCTTTATTTGGGAAATTAAAGGGAAGAAGACATTCAAAAGCCCCAGCACTGTGTTTCCCCAAACCAAGGAATGTGGAGATGGGGAAGGAGGATCCAAATGGCGATGAGAACGAGTCTTTTCACGACCATCCACTCTGATAGTCTCATTACTTATACTACCCACTAATTCAAATTAAAAAATAGCGACTTTAAATAAAAATATTTCTCTCAATATCCATTTTTTATTCGCAAAATTTGAACGCTCAATCTTACTTAAAAAGTACTTTCTAAATTCCAACTTCTCTTTATTTTAGGTTTTTGCGCTTACTAGAAAACTATTATTTTAGAATCTAAATGCTTGTTTATTTTTTTTTCCAACTATATCCTCGTTCAACTATTTATAATTATGTCTAGTACTTTCTAAACTATTGTATTAAATGATATTATTTCAATCCATATGAAGTACTAATATTGTATATTAATTAATGATTTCTTAATCTATGAACAAATCCCAGAAGGTAAAAACAACAAAAGAATTGAAAGGAATATCGGATTATCACTAGAGCCAACTACCGCTGCTGATGAGCATTTCAGATTTGGAAGGAAGCCAGGTCCAGACCAGAACACTCCCCCCACATTCAGTGCAACAACTAGTTATGGAGTCACTCGACACTTGAGCTCGACGTGTCTAGCAATATCTTTGTAGGGACACATCGGCAGTCGAAGATTAACACGAAGGAAATTTGTTTTATTGCGACAGTCATTCACACGTCATGCTCATCATTTTATTGCGACAGCTTTAAGTTTCACGTCAAACATCAGACTGAGGAGTTTCTCATCTTTAACAGTGGCAAAACACTAATCCCCGTCGCTCACCCTTCTCCAGCAACTATTGAGTTTATAATATATAGAGAAAATTTACAAGACTTGGCCCTTAAATAATTGAATGATGATTGACATTCTTGTACTTGTAAAACAATCCTATAATTGATATGGAGGCTAGGCATGCATGCCAAAATTTTAATTCTATTCAAAGCTAGTTTCGTCCACCAATTCAAACAACAAATGATATGAACAGTCTTCTATATCCTGTCATGCTTTCTTTTCGATAGCTCGCTTAATTTGAAGAGCGGCTCTGACTACATTTCCTCTTGTGATAATCCCGACCTTCAGATCATTAACAATGGCGTCTTAGAAACCCAAATAAACATAAAGATGAAGGTCAAGAAAATAAGAAAGATGAAGGAACGGGGAAGTCTCTTACCAGCCTACCCTCTGCATCTACAACTGGAAGTCGTCGGAATTTGGTCTCCAGCAATAACCTGAAGATAGAAGATAGAAATTTCAAAACTGTCATCTTTGATTAACGAAAGTAAATCGTAGGTGAAATGAGAAGTGGAAGAGAGACGTTGAACTTAAGGGAGCATAAAAAAGAACCTAGCAGCATCCTCGAGATTGATGGTCTCCCGAACAACCATAGGAGAGGTGGTCATTAATTCACCAATCACCTGGCCGTTGGTCTTGCTAAGCAGTTTCTGAACCTCATTGAAAGTCTGCGAGCCATTATAATATTAACAACATCTTTCATAAATTAAACAAATCATGAACCATCTGAACATTTAAAATCCTACAAGCAATACAATGAATCCAGTAAAGTGTAATCATGACTATGCAAATTTTAGTTTCCCTTTCTGTCCTTTTATCTTAAGCATACTGAGATGATTTCAGACCAATTTCAAAAGTGAAAGGAAGCTCTTGCCTTTCAATCACACTGGACAGCAACATTGTAAGGAACGGCTAGAATGCATTTTTATTAATGTATAAAATCTCAGAATGTTACTGTGAGAAAAAGAAAAGGAGTTATTCAAACCAATGAGGTTATATGGAGATGCCAATACAAAGCCTGCCTTGTCTTTGTAAAATTATATGGGGAAGAACAAACAATAATCAAGGGATTAGTTCATTAACCAAGACTACTGGGATTCTTAAACTTATAGCCATACTGGTCTTGCAAGCATGGCACAGAGGAGGGTCATGAAAGGTAACTGCCAAGAAATCACATCATTGCAGCCCTTAAACTGCAGTCATACTGGCATTCCAAGAGTGGTACAGAGGAGGGTAGTGAAAGGTACTGGTGGTGAAACTGTAACTATGCAAGAAAAGGAGGAAGAAGATAGATATGATGATTCATGAACACCCCCACCACCCATGACAACATCAACGAATAGAAAGGGCAAGAGGAGGACATATAGTGGGAGGTAAGGACCAGTGATTCAACCAGAATGAACAATTATGGAGTGTCGGAGCTGAAAGAGAATGGTCAATACAGATGAGATTATACGCATCATTGATAATTAGACAAGGCATAGGCTTTACTAACACCTCCCAGAGAGATATAGTTGACAACTGCAATATTTCATATTTGAAATCGTTTATAAAGCAAAGCAGGTATGGAATGCCTAGTTATGCGTATATGCAGCGCTGGTGAAATGTGGCTATTTCAACAATTGATAAGCCCTTCTTAAGCATATCATCAAACCACAGAACAAACAAACGGGACTCAAGTTCAACTACCAGTGGGGAGGACTTTTTACGTACTTTCCAAGAACTGTCAACTTCAGGAAACATGCTGTTATCTATTCGTCCATGGCCTGAAATGAGCATTACATCTTATTTGAGCTATAAGAGCTTATTAACAAAAATAAACATCACGTTTCCCAACAACTCATGTTTCATGTTTCACTGAACCGATTTACCTGATATAGAGTCTAATGCTAACAGGTCATAATCTGAAACAACACCAACCTGCAGGGTAAAAGAGAAAATTCACAAATCATTTCATGACAACTAATCCACCAATAATTCGTTGAACCAATCACATATAAGCTTGGCTATGTATAGTGCGGAAAGAATATGCAGCATAAATCATTGTCAAACATTTAAATGGATATCAACGTCTTCTGAATTTTTGAGAGAAAAAATAGAGTTGTAAAACTGCCAAAGAGTTCTCTTCATCAGTAGTAAGCAGTAAGGACACGGATTACACCAGCAAAATTTTAATTGATTCATGAAAATGGGTAGAGATGACTCACTAAGTTCCAATCATCATCTATCACAGGAAAACCAGTTATTCTGTGCTCAACAAGACTTTCCAGAGCTGTTGAAAAGTGGATAACATGTTAGAAATTTAAATTATAACCTCCTCCCCCGCATCAGGAAGAAATTTGCATGATGAGATAAGACGTGAACAAAAGCATGAAAATTACCTTCATCTACAGATGTTGTTGGCTTTACTACATGCAAGTACTCCTTGCTTGTCATAAAGTCACCAACAGTATAAACACCACTCCTTGACTGTATGCCATGTTAGAATTCAGTTAGTACAAGGAACACAAATTTCAGAAACGGAATTTGTAAGAGAGAGTAACAGTCGTGAACGTCTGGCATCATCAGGAAAGCAGAAAAAATTAATTTGGCCTTGATTTTTCTACCTCATGATAAGAGGCTTCTCTCTATTTGAAACTGCCAGATAAAAAGGTTTTCTTTTAATTGGCTTTGTTCTCTGTCACTCGTAAAGTGGAAGCGTCGTAGGAGAAGACAAATACGGCCATCCCAAAAAAGCTCTGAGATGCGAAATCATAATGTTTTTCGAAAGCAAAAGGTATAGTCCCAGGGCCCTGGGAAGTAGAATTAGCCGCTCGGTGCAAACTTACAACCATTATTTTTCCTCCTCGCCTCTAGTAATACTCCCTTTAGTTTAAACAAACCGCATATCAATGAATAACATAACCAAATAGCCAATAAAATATATATGCCTTACTGTCAGAACGATGTTTAACAATGCTAAAACCAGTCTGCTCCAAAGTTAAAGATCCAGTTTCCCATTTTTTAACTCCGAACAGCTTGAGAAACACAAATGACTTTCTAATTAAACTCGTGCATAAAATTGATGCGTATGCTCAGGAATCCGGTCGACTATGCAGTGACATGCTCCTTTATTCTTTCTTTCTTTTCTTTGGCCAAATCAGACTAAAGTTAACTGCACAAAATAATTGTAATTCACAGCTTCTATTCTCCTTTATATATATATATATACACACACACACACACATAGAGATTTTAATCACAGGGATAAATCTGGTCATTTCTCAAGGTACACTGCGCAAAAGGAGTTGAGTATAATTCAAGTGACAAATGCTATAAAAAAAGATATACCGGCACTGAATTAGTCGCGAGGGAGCTGGAAGCGGCCACCGGTGATCCACGAATCCTCAGAGCTCGACGGAAGCGGTGGAAGCACGGAACATTAATGGAGGCGTGACTCCTCCAAGTGGGTGGTGAGAAACCGAAGACGCAGAGCCTGTGATGGTTGGAAGAGAAGCCAGGACCAGGCAGCGGCAGAGCGTCAAGGTGAATGACCGAGTCCATTGTCAGCGTTTAACGCTCCTAGTTCTGGACTCGGAACTCAAAGTGAGGACAAGGGGCTTTTCAATATGCAGGGAACGCCCAGCAGATATTTACCGGGCAAGTCGATCCGCAGATGGAGACCGCGATTTCTTGCTTTTACAATGAAAAAAAAAAAAAAATCGAACAGAAATATCAAAACTGTCCCAGTAAAGTTCTGGTCGGGGAGACGGAACATCCAGATCGGACAGAGAACCCGCAACGCAATCTGCGCGTAGCCTTCAAGAATCGGAATAAATATCAAGGCCAGAAAGAAAAAATGGATTGGACCCGTATATACATGAGGCCCAATTTCAATTGAATTTTATGGCCCATCAGCCAGGCATGCTAAGGCTTCTCGTCTATGTTATCTCATCCAACATCATCAACATATGAAAAGACACACACAAATTATATGAACAAAAAAGAAAAGGTACACACAAAATATAAAATAGTGTAGTTTAAGGTACACACTACACACAAAATATAAAATAGTATAGTTTATGTTTCTGTATTTTATGTAATTCATGATTTGCAGAAGATGGACAAAAGACGTGTTTTTGATACAATGGACAAAAGACTTTTTTAATTGGTTGGGTGGAAGAGCAAGCAGGACGGAACCCATGTCTCAATCAAAACTAATGATTTTCGATACCCAACAAAGTGAAGCCCAATCATGCATTACAAAAAACAGCAAAAACAGAGAACATCATTCCAATAAGGCCCCCATGTGAAAGACCTCGCTTCTTTTTCTCCCTCCTTACGAGTATCCTCTTATTAAAAATAAAATAAAAATAAAAATAAAAAAAATTTTAGATTCATATACTTTATTTGTATTTTGTCATTAATTTTTATATTTTTTTAATATTTTTTTCCTGTATTTTTATTTTTTATTATTTTATATCCCTTTATAAATAAAATATAAGGATCTTAAAAGAACCTAAAACAATTAAAAATAAAAGTATAGGAACTGAAAATATAAAAAAATACAGTGATCAATAGAAAAATATAAGCAAAATATAGGACCTAAAGTTATATTTTTAAAAAAATAATTTTGTTCTATTGGACATTAAATGAAAATAATTCTTTTAACAAAAAAAATTAGCTCATCAGAGGGATTATTTTTTTTATTAGACCCAACTTGATCGGTAAAAGACTTTGCTTTGGCTCCAAAATTGTGCTGCCTTTTCCCACCAGGCCACCACATAACTTTTGGTTTTTATGCCCTTCTTCTCATGGCCCCCCCTCCCTTACTGTCTTATTCTTTCTCCTCTAGCTCTCACCCAAACATATTAAATAAAAAAAGATTTGCAACTAATTTATTACTTTTAAAACTGACTACATTGCTTGACCCCCAAAAAAAAAATGACAACATTGAATCATATGAACGATAGTATCCACACATTCGCGTTCCGCTAAATATTGTAGGATCGTTATTTCAATATTATTATTATTATTAACAGTCAATTTTTTTACCAATTTGACGTGCAGAGCTGAGAGTCTATATAGCTATATATAAAATAAAATTTATAAAAAAAAACCCCATTTTATTTACAAACTAAGAATATTTTTTATTAAATAATATTTTGTTTCTTGATTGAAACAAACTAAGAATATTACTCGTATCAAAATCAGGCAAAATGAAGGGCTAACACTTCTTTTCTGTAAAAAATAAAAAATAAAAAATCCGTAGGTTGAAAATGGACAATTTATTTTAAAACAAAAAGGTTGGGTTGAAGCAAGCTGTTTTCCGGCCCACTGGTTTTGACAAAATACGGTTAGGGACCACTTCGGGGACTGCACATGAGAAGGAAACTGCCAGTGCCACTCCGATTAACGTCTTGTAATACTAATAAAAATTACCAAGTTGAAGGCTTCATTCACCAAGTTGGCCTACTTGTGCCTTGTTTGGCTACCAAGTGGCTGCAACTTGAAAGCTTATTTGTTGAATTGCGGCTCCCCAGCACGAATCATCTAGGAAACGCAGCGCTGCGTCGTCACTAACATGGACTCGGGGCCCGATACAGAACATGAGAGAAGTTACTACTAACATGAACTCATTTTGTTGTGCCTCGTTTAAATCAACGAATTGTACGCTCACTAACCTTTCCTGATTATTCTTGCCACTCAGGTGTTTTCCTCCAAAATCTTCGAATGATGCCCAGAGACACGTTCTTCATTGCCTTTTTCTTTTTGTTTCTACCGGACGAGTCTGTAAACTTACAGAGTTCGTATTTTAACTCGCTTCTCTTTGATAAGTTTGATTTCCTTTGAAGATTCATGTGTTTAGATAATAAAAATCACCCGATCGATCCCCCAGAAAATATGTGTTTTCCTTTCTAATGAAACTGGAATTTCCGCCTTCGAGGCTTGGTAACAGTCAGACAATTCCAGTGATTTTTCGTGAATTTTTTAACCGGTATTTTCACTGCTAGAAAAAAAATTTATACTTAAATTTACAGAATAAAAGAAAAAATTATTTATTATTTTTCTATATCATTTTATATTACATATTTTATTTATAATAAGAGAAAAAATTATTTGTGTAATTATTGAATTAGGTGATTTTTAATTATTTTTCCACATCTCCCTCCATGTATGTTATCAATTTTTTTATTTTTATAAAATATTTAAACTTAGTTTTACTATTTTTTAATTAAAAAAATACATGTCACTGATTTGTCACTAATATGAAAATTTAGGGACAAAGATTAGTTATGAATTTAAATCAGTCATTAAATTTATAAAATTTAACCAAAATATAATGATATCATATATTTATCACCAATTTGTGTTAGCAGTGACATTTTTCTTAATAATATCTATAATCAGTGATCGATTGGAGATCCATCACTCGTAATTAATTTTAAATTTTCTAATATTATTTTATTTATTTTATTTTTATTTTGATGTATACCAGTTTGTTTGTTTTTTTTTACAGGTAGCGCCGTTTTTGTCATTTGTTCAATTCTAGGGCGAGTTATCGAATAATAGCAGTAGCAGTAGCTGGACAATAATTTTTCAAGATTCCGATCCGGTGATGATTCCAGGGGCCAAACCCCGAGTTATGTACGGTAAAGGGGAGGAAAATAAGACAGCCGAGGAGGAGTGTGCGTGCGTGAAAGTGCGTGAGAAATTATCATTTGAAGAAGATGTCTTGGGTGATATTATTGATTCTGCACAGCCCTTGGTCCAAGACAGTCTGGCTTGCATTTTGTTAAATATTCTCTCCCACAAGGCGCACCATAAAGGATCAATCCAGGCGATGGATTTACTTGAATAAACAACACTGGTGATATATTACTATTAATAATATTCGACAGCACAACTGAAATGTTATGAGATACGTAGAAAGTTTAGCAGGAAGCACTAAAGAATGATATGCCTATGTTTCGATCGCTTACTAGGTAATGGGCACCTTTATTTAATAAAGGGAAACGGATGGGAGGGGCTGGTCATGGCAAGTATGTCGTAGTATGTATGTGAGTATGTCCATTGTCCACCCACCTTTCCAGTTTCCACGTGTTTCTTTCCGTGCCAGTTTATTGATGCAATAAGATAAGTATGATAGGGCTCCACGTATGCAGGTGCAATATTTTATGGCAGCAAATAATTGCAATATATTACTGAATGGATGCTCCAGTCCAAACCATATAAATTCACGTGATTCACGGCACCGCGACAGGTCAACAACCTGGATTCGATCACAGATCCTCTGAAACGCCATGGACACCGTCCGATGCTTCTTCCCTCCCATCTACTTTTGGTGGGATGGCCCACCTCATCACTCCTTCATGTTCTACCTTTTCCCGCCGGTTTCCCTTCCCCCATTGCTCCCAAGTAGTATATATGCTGTAGATTTGACTCCAGTGGCCCATATATTTATTGCCCGGACCGAATCTGAATTCCTTCGCGTGACTTCCTTTTTCCTAATATCACAAGGTTTCATATTTTGAAATTGGGTTTTGACGGTGTAATCAGGCTTGAAACGCAAGTTTTGGTCTGGATTTTGTGCATAGAATTGTATGGATTGTTCCCATGGTTGAGCCGCCAATTACGGAATGGCCGTTTGGCAGGGGAAACATCTCCGAAAGGAGAAAACACTGTTGGGCTGCCTGGCAATTTCAGGAGGGAACGTATAAGCAAACATAGCATCATAATTTTATCCAAAATTCCAGTTACAAGTATTTTCCACTTTTGTACTCTCTCTTTTTTTTAACCTAACTTCATTGGGTATGAAATATTTTTCTTCATAACAAGTCAAATCAAATCAATTTAATTCACACTTGACAGTCGACATCCTTGTAATACCAACAAAGTATAACGCGAAAACAAAAAAGAAAACAGAGAAAATGCTGGATGAATGAGATGAGACGAGACTTGCGGGATATCATGTCATAGGATTTCGTGGTAGGTTGGGTTGGGTTTCTGAAACTGCCAAATGATATATAATTGATGAGGAATCCGGTGTTGCTACATATGGGAAGTAACACACGAATGTATATCGCATTTTTTGTGACACTTGATATTCCGGTTCTCCACATTGCCAATGAAACATCAACGTTACTCTTTGAATATGTTCTTTTTGCCCATTCCCACGCAAACTTCGTAACTTATTTTAAGAACATATGCCCTCCCTCACCAATCACCGTCCCTCCCTTTTTCCTGTCTCCCCGCTTTTCCCAAAAGTCCCTCCATTAATCCTTCTACATTACATTGTTAATGCTTAATATTTAATTCCAACAGACTCGCGCAAATACTCTCAACTTTTAAACATATAAATTTGTGTGGCGTGGCAGCTTTGATAGATTATTTTATGTGAATAATTTAAGTGACAACAGGATCCAAAAAACTGATCCAATCGAAGAATGGCGTGGATGCGATATAGTATAGCAGTGGTTAGGCAATTAATGAAGCGATAGTAATTGATAAAGAGAAAAAAAATTATTATCGTGTGTTCCACTTGAATAGATCATTCATGAATGAGAGGGAATACGGAGAGAGGACCCCTCCCATTAAATTAGCCACTAGAACAAGAGTTGGGGAGTTTTGAAATAATGAAAATATTAAAGGGACATCAAAAGTTGGGTTGGACGCATGGCTGAGAGGTTAAGAATAATAAACTAAGTGGGCCTGGTGGTACACACTGCACTGCACGACACAATTGGAGAAAGGGGGTGGGCCTGGGCGTGAATTATTGAACGGGAGAGGAGGGGCCCACTTGCTGTGTCACTGTTTCCACTTGAGGAAAACATGCCTTTGAAGGAGAGCCTCGTCCCACTTCCAATATGGGAAGGTTGGTGATTTTTTTTTTTTTAAAAAAAAAGAGCGTAGCTGTGACCCCCACTCATTGGCGTGAAGAGAGAGGGGAAGAGAATATAATATATGAGGATAAGCACGTTCCTAGTTTTTGTGAAGTGCGACTTGATGTCAATTTGGCCTGGGGTGCCTCCTGACGTGGCCTTCTTTTTGTTTTTTTGTCTTGGGAAGATGACAAATAAAAAACCCCAAAAGAAAATTCATATAAATTAGAATTTATTCAACCTTAAATTTCTCAAATTTAATACTCATTTTCTTATGAATCAGTGCTAAAATTTTTAATTTAATATTAATTTTTTAATAAGATCGTTATTTATCATTCTCTCTTTTATTTTTTCAAAAGCCCCCACTTCTTTCACTCTCTTTTTTGCCTTTTTTTTTTACTCTTTTTTTTCTTGGCTTTTTTTTTTCTATTTGCGAAGTCTCTAATTTTCTTAAACGTTGATGATGTCAATCGTGATGATATCTATAATAATCTACAAATCTATCTCTCAATCTATCACCCCACGGTTTTGAGTTGGCCTCAACATTCTCCCACCTAAGACCCATGTTCCCCAACCTTGCATTTCAACACACACTTTCTATTTTTATATCACTGCAATATAATTTAATTTAATTTTTTAGGTAAACTAGTATTATAATCTGCTTGGCTAACTCAAAATATATAAATACAATAACATAAAACATGACTATTCCCTCCAATTATATTTAGGATTAAGGGTTTTTTTGCTCATCAAATTTATACAACATGTCACTGGATACTCTAAACTCAATTTAGAATTAACCCTATCTCTCAACATATGAAATTTGCTAACTTTGTACCCCTTACATTAACTTCATTGGTTTCCATTTGCTTTAGTCTATAAGTCCCACCTCTTTTATATTTTTTTTTATAATATGATGATAAATGTAAGCCCCACACCTTCTCTTTCGCCCCTCCCCACCTTCTTTCTCTCTACATAAACTTTGATAGCTTCATATCGTTGGAGAAGTCGAAACAACTCACAAACTACGATAACGTCACTACATGAAACCATCAAGAATCTTAACGATGCTCTGATTTTTGTCTCTTTGTCTAGTTTTGTGAGGGCATCGTCACGTGTTCTCCATGCCCATCCCTTACTTTGAACTAAATTATAGCTTGAAGTAGATATATTGTGTAACCTCATAGAAACTAAGCAAAGAAGATGACAGGACTATACCAAGTATGTGTGTCTATATATATGTTACTATCACTTGTAGATCAATCAAGTGTACATCACAATATATCTATCCACTTTATTATTTAACTCCATAGCATAAAAATATGTTTGACAAAACATATAAACATTAATATTCAATTAAAGTATAGTTCAATAACATTCTTCCCATATCAATTATTGGTGTTATAAACTTGATATGTTTGAAAAATCATGGTAGATGCAAGAACAAATTCTTTTGACTTTTGAGTGATAGGGACTTGCATGCAAGGATATATGAAACTATTTTCAAGGAAGAACGATTGAGCCTTGAGGGAGTAGGAATGAATGAGAGATAATACCTTCAAGTAGACCTAGAAGGTGAGTCTCTCTCCAGAGATGAAAGTGGCGAGGATGCTTGCTATATGGTGGCAAATCTAGGACACCCAAAATGGTGTGCCAGAGATGACATTTGTAATATCCTAACTTTTAAATTAGGGAATTAATCGAGGACAATATGAATAATTGAGGCTTTGATGGTAAGAGTACACTTAGTTAAGGTGGTTTGAGGTTCATTGGATGATAGGGTGCTTAATTAATGATTATTTTGGGCTTAAGGTCATGTATGAGGGTGTCTAGGAGTCCAAAATATGCATTGGGCCAAGTTAAACCTAATAGAATTGGGTTGAAGTAGAATCTACCCATTTTATCCTTCACCATGTGCGGGTGAGCTGATAAAGGGTTTGACCACTTAACTGTATAACCGCATCCTTATACACATTCTCATTAATTCACATAACATATTCAATACTCATTAAGATTTCAATAGTCACAATGTTATTATCACATTATGTTTGATAACCACACGACCCGAACTAAATGAATCGTTCCACCTCGTCATCAACAAATTCATAACCATATATCACATAATGTTTAATAATCTTTAACAACATGCTTGCATATCCACACTATCATTTTTAGCACAATCAACAACATAAAATTCATAATTGCAAACAATAATTATCTATAAGAATCTAACTTCCAGTTACCTCTACTTTTAGGTTACTCTTGAATTGAAATGAAAAAATAGATGTAACTTCAGTTACTTCAAAAATGATAAGATATTTAGCACAGGAAGAGGGGTTGATCCGTGTCATTTTGACTTAATTTTAATTTCTCTATTTTTTAAGAATGACATAAGGTCACCTTTACTGATCTCCAATTAACTTATAAATCTTTGATTAAACTACAAGAATTATTAAGTTTGTAAAATTACATAAATGGAACCCCAAGTTTTTCAAACCTTTAAAAACGCTATATTATAACTTTCATAAACCAAAATCAAGGAAACATATGTGTATAAAAGCATGGGATACTAATTTGTATCAAAATATTTGCATTTAAGTTGGAAAACATCAAATTAAATGCAATAGAGTAGAAGTGCATTGTGACATTTCTCTCTTCTGTTGCGGCACATTCTTCCCTATGCCATGTGCCACGGTACATTATACATATTTGACAACACTATTATTGTCATTTAATAGCAATAAGGGCAAACTTTTAACATGTCTCATTTCTCCATTTAATATCTAACTAAGATGATTTAGGTGTATACAAAAAACTCTTTCAGAGTATTGGCTAATAATATTTTTTGCTATCATATCATTTTTTATTCAAAAGTTAGGCATCCGTTCACCAAACTCACTCCTTTTTATTTTTCATATTCCATTTAGGTGTTTGAATTCTCTATCAAGTGCCAAAAGCTCATAAATATTTCTAGATTACACTCAATAGACTAAAAAGGACCTGTGCAACACACAACAACAATTCAATAACACATAAATCAAAATTTTAAAGCTCAACTCCTTGATCACAAAACAAAAAGGCGAGCCAAATTACTACTTGTTCCCATAATCCTCCTTTACAAATCAAAAATGTCATTTGTATCATACTTGCATTAGTATTTTATCTCTGTGTAAATATCAAGATTAATCATATATATCACCTAGGGCCTAAAATACATAGTTTAACTTAAACTATTACATATAATGCAATTAATCAAAATAATACAATTGCTAGTTAGAAATTTCATTAAAATTATGCACATGAATTCTTAAAATAGTGAGGTTTACAGGTTAGAATAACGGAATCCTATGCCTTAAGCTACTTCCCTTTGTCCTTACCTGATGAAATAGCACATATAATATTGAATAGAGATGAGTAAGTATAACCACTTAGTAATCAATGTCAATCTAACATATAAAAATGCACGTCAATTAATTATAATGATACAAGTGGCATATTCAATTAACACATATCCATGTACTTAGCCATAGAGTTCATCCAGTCATAAAACTAATAATCATGTGATGTGAAAGTTTTAATATGAAAGGGTCACAACACCAACAACTATATGCCTCTTTGTAAAAGTGTAAAACCACAATAATGCCAACTATGTGGTGAAAATATGATATGCAAGGTCGCAAAAATAACAATTATGTGACCATTCCATGATATGCATTATCAATGATATTCTTATAAACTCCTGATACCTCCAACACAAAATTATTGGCTATTTAGTGGGTGTTGTCCATGAAATTAAACTATCCAAGCCTTCCAATTGTAACATCCTAATTTTTAGATAAAAAAAATTTATGAAATTTAAGTTTTTTTTAAATGATGATAATAATAGGAATTTATATTATTTGAGGTTATTTGAAAATAATAATATGGGTAGGCATTTAATTATGAATT